TTCCTCACATGAAAGTTTCTGAAAGATTTGTCGAATATGAGTATGGAAACCAACATAGCTGTTGCTTTGCCCTGTGGGCATAGAGAGGGCATAAACTAACACTCACAGCTAAAAGTCCTAGATGAAGAGAATAATCATTCCAGTGCTCCATGTTGGCCCTCTATCAGATCCCCAGATCCTCATACCAGGTTTTCTTCTACATTGTCGGAAAAATCCTGATGCTTTAAATGACTGCGCTAATCTTGATACTTCTTTAAACAGCTGAGCTAAAGTCCAAAAGCCATATGTGCACTAACACCCACCCAGGACAGTCAGAGGAAAGAACCATTTAATTTAGGTATACGAAATGACAGCACTCTCAGTTATATGAGGGTAACTTCACACAGTGTACAAGTTAAGCTTAGGCTTCTCCCACCCCTTTACCCCCTCTTCTTCACTTTTTAAGACTAAGTCTTACATATTACACGGAAGAAAGATGCCAGTTGTGCAGCAGAAATACAGAGCACTGTGGCGATGCAGAGCAGCATCTTCTCCAGGAATTTTCTGTCAAAGGGTATGTCTCAATTACAAGAAAAACCACATTCCCCCCTTTTCTTTTTCCTGCTTTTCTGCCGTGGATTGTTTGGAGCCAAACCATAAAATGAATAACCACACAATATTAGAACAAAATAGGAGAGTCTCCAAATATTCTCTTTTTTTCAGTCTGGCTTAATTTATCACGTATGTCTCTATCTGTATCACAGGATATAGATTATTCATAATGTGTTTGCAGAAAACATTACTCTGAACAAATGCAATTTGATCTGATTTAGTCACAGTTAATGTTGAGTTTAAACTCAACACATACAAACAGATAATGAGTTTAAGTGTTTCAGACTGTAAACTGAAAATTATCTGATGACAACTAATCTGCTGTACCACCTGAGAATTCACTGGTTTACTGATGCTAAATGAAGATGAGCAGGTCACTGATGAATCTGGAAAAAAACCCCACCTGGACAGAATGCATACAGCTATCTGGCATTATATATATACATATTCATTAATGGGAGGGAAGTTGCTGCTCACTTGGAAGGCGCCAGTTTGGACACAACAGTCAAGCATGTGACTAAAATGTGTTCAAATACGTACTTGGTTTTGGCTAACTGATTCCTATAAGGGCATAACCCATCACCCACGTGGTATCCTAAAGCTTCTGTAATGGTAATGCAATCCTGATAGTATCTGGATAATCACGTAATCAAACTAGGGAAAATAAGAGAGCAGTGAGATTTCACTACTTTGTAGCAAAGGCTTTTAAAAATACATTAATATTTTTACTAAGTTCTTCCAAAAGCAGATGGAAGTGGTTTTCTCATTTTTTTCAGCACAAAGTGGAAGGAGGCACTGGATAGGAGCTGAAATAGATTATCTATCTGTAACTGTTCATCCCTGAGGTGCCTTGGTGATGTGTACATCTGGGGAACTGCTACCTAGCTGCAAGCCTCCCCACTGTGGCAGCCCACTGCTGCATGGACACCACATGCACTGCACATCACTGTGGAGGAGGCCAAAAGCCTCTTAACCAAAGCATGTGAAATTACCCAGGGCCAAGGAAGAGGGCAGAAAGGGTGGCTCTTAAAATGCGTGCAAGACCTTACAACTCAGGAAGGATCAGAAGATGTAGCAATCTGTGTTACTTCCTTGTAATATCAAATGCTTGTTTAATTAAAACATCTGCAAGAAAAACTGTCTATAGAACAGACCTCAGAGCCCCCAAGAAACAAACTCTCTGAAAGACAGCATCACCCTTCTGCAGCCATGGTGGAAACACAGCATGGCAGGATCTTAAGCAGCAGCTCCAAAATCCTCCATGCTGGGGAATATATGCAGAGCCATCACCAGCATTAGCTGGCCTCTAGCAGAACCAGCCCAAACTGAAGAGGGAGAGGTGTTTTTTGTTTGTTTGTTTGTTTGTTTGTTTGTTTTTAACTGAAAATAGTTTTTGTTCCAAGACACACAGCAGGGGAAAGCAAGGTGGCTGGAAGCCCCCTGAGGTTCTGATGGGCAAGGGCAGAGCAGCCTTGCAGGATTTTGCTCTCCTCTGCTGGAATGGGCTCCAAGCCGTAACTAGTAAGTTCTGACGACCTGACCTCATTGTAAAGAACTGGTTTCTCTGCCCTGCCCTCCTGGACCATGCCATCAGACTGGTAAGGTTTGTTTGTACCTGCTCTTCAGGATACCCCAAGCACCCTCTCCAGAGTCAGCCACTCATTATCCTCCAGCACTCGAGTTGTTAGCTGGGGCAAGTGCAGCCACAGAGCAGCTGGTCATCCCTGCTTTAGGCTATGTTGCGAAATGGGACAGGCACTCTGCTCCATAGGTTAAAGAGGACACTTCATTTAGGGAAACAGCATTCCAGAATAAGAATTAAATTTCTTCTGTCATGGGAGAAGCAGAATATGAAGAGATTGCATCTTCGGAGTAAGGAGACAAGATTTTAATCTCACTATCTAATAAGAAACCAGTAAACAAGAGGACAGAAGTCAGATGGGTTGAGATGTCTAGTTAGTTCATGAAGCATTTTACCGGAGTATAATTTTGTATGTGTAACAAAGCAAAAGGTACTAATTAATTGCAACTCATTAAGTGCAAGTTGTTTAATAATTAGGAAAAATGAATGCAGGCATGGCAAAGTTGGTACAGACAAGAATTCCATATAGCTGAGTGTTGCATTTCCAACAGCAGCCAGTCTGCTCAAGAAGCAAAGGAGTAATTTGAAATTCAGTCTTGACCCATGGGGTCAACATTTTTTTCCCAACTTTTCTGAAAGTAATCTTAAAGGACAAAAATAATGAATGCCTTCACAATAAATGACTGGATTAGACAATTAGTGTCTGTCTCCACCCATGGGCAATTAAAATTTCATGTTCTACGTATAGAAAGCATTGCTATCCCATGTAGAGTGCTCATGGATATATAAATCATCCATATTCATGTTCTCATCTTTTAGAGTTCTGCTAATACTTATGCAGAATCAAGGTAAGTCAGTCATACTTATCTCTTTGTAAATCGTATCCTTCGAAAGGAATCAGAAACAAATATCCCAAATAAGATTTTAATAGCATAATATTTTCAAAATTTGCTCTTTACCCAGGGAAAGTTTGCTGAGGGGGAGAGAGTTCAGAAACCGCTGCACATACTAGGACAGAAAAGGACTGAAAGCAAAGGGGCCACAGGAAAAGTGGTCATAGGCAAAGATTTCCTAGAACAGCAGCTTTCAGAGAAGTCTCACACGACAATAAATCACTCATCCCCTACAACTATCTGCTGGGGATTTTTAAGTCTTTACCATAGTACCATACAGGGATTGACCCTAAAACCCAGTATAAGGCAAGACAGGGATGCACCCTTTTATTTGGTGGTAATTGTAGAACAAATGGTTTTCTACAAAAGCAGGCACCAAATTCTGGGAAAGTCTGGGCCTGGAATTTTCTGCTCAGTTATGGCTTAACTAATGATAGCTAAGACAAGTGTAAAAGTCACATGAGAAACAGAGTTTCCTTCCCACAGTGCCACTGGTGAAGCATACAGAAAGAAAACTAAATAAATCTGAAAACTTCACACAAGTAAATTCTTTTCTTTGTACTGAATGGACACGCTGTACTCCCACTGCTTCACAAAGGAAGTTAAGAGCTTCTTTATATGTCAAGCCTACTCTCTTTTTCTCAACAAAATACAAATGAAAGGGCCGTGTGAATTATTAACAGATGACAACAGAGAGCTAGTCAGGTATTTCAAACATTTGTGTCTCTTCTTCCCACATGAATTCCTCAATAGTAAATGCAAAGTAAGTCTTCTTACTACTTCCATCATTTAAATCCATAATTAGAGCTGACTAAATAACTTGTTGAAAAGTAAAGGCTTTTTTACATTCCTTCCTCTCTCCTTTCTTTCCCTGGGAGAGCATTTGACCTGACTGTCAGTGACAGGGTGACAGGGGGACTTCATGTTCTGAAGGGCACTTGGTGAATCAAGTCAGAGCCTTTTCCCCTCTTAATACCTTTTCAGTACCACAAGCTCACGTGGAAAATCATGCCACCCAATGGAAACAGAGACACTAGGTATATAATGGGGAAATCTGAAAACAGACTAAAACTGTAGTCATGTTACAATGCTAACCATCATCTCACGTCAAAAATAGGTCGTCTTATACATGCTTTGGCCGGGCTCTCCTCCCTCATCTCCCCCTACCCCCAAACTTCACCAACAAAGAGGTGAACAGGACATCACCACACGAATCCAACACCATTGCTTGACAGCATGCTTGCTATTTACACATAAGTACAAACTTAACACTGCTTCAGTCCACTCACATCATTTAAGTCAAATAAATTCTAAATTTTTCGAAGAATCTGTGCAAACCCAATGTAATAAAGTGAAATCATATAACTTAGTATCAATGCAAGTGAAAGATAATTGAGAATTATCATATGAAAACCTGTCAAGATTAGAATTACCATAGAAAGCTTTAAAATGGCAAACTTTTTGACAATTTTGAAAAATAATCCAGATGACCCTAAGTAAACATGTACTTTTCTATTTACTTCCAAATTTAAATCCATAAATTCTAAACTTTCATCAGGTAAAAGGGTCATTTCAAATAGCATGGTAAAGCGCAGCGTCTGACATAACACAAACTGGGGGAATCAAGTTTCCCACAGTTGAACAGGTAACTCCTAGTAATGCCACAAGGAATTACCTGCAAAAACATAAACCAGAATAATCTCTTTGTTTTGGATTTGACTGAGCTTCACACATACGCTGTTTATTCTGATTGCCATAAAAATGGACAAAAGCAGCACACACATTAGCAGCAGCTCTCACTTAAAAACAAGAAGCACAGCACATTTTCCCCTCAGCCAGCTCCCCGCTGAAAGTATTCCAGACTAAGCCACAAAAACTTAACAGTGAGCTTTCAAATGACAGGACATCATGTGCTCCATCAGTCAAGTACTTACAAGGTTTCTTAAACAAATTGATCATGCCTACAATTTCAGACGAAGTCAGAGAAACTCCAGACTTGATCTTCTCTGAGGAAGAAACAAAAGCCATGAAATCATCAAAGAGAAGGGCTTGTTTGGCTTTTTTTTTTGTTGTTGTTGTTGCTGTCTTTAAGAGAGCTCTGAAGGACATATCGTAACATGGTAGGAAGCTTGTAGGAACAGCCTTGCAAACAAGGCTGAGCATGTACTTCAGCACTCTGTTCTTAGCATACTCCCTGTGGAAAATGCTAAGGGAAGTTTTAACTAGCAAGAGTCAAGGTGATTTCAGATTGATAGCTAAGACCTCCCGGGCGATCTTACATAGGGTACATTAGTTTATATAATTGCTTTCTGCTCAGTCTTCCCCAGCTATGAAGCCAAAAATAGCTTACTTGTCCCACAAGGGAAATAAGGTATACCAGGGATAACGGGCAACCCTTTATAGGTGTTATGAATAACAGCCGTGGTTTTAAAAAAGTAAGAGAATTCCTGACATTATAGTATTATCCATGTTTTTACTTTTACAAGAACAATTTAATGTCAGTAGCTACCATGAAATCAGGAGGCTGCATTTTCCAAGAAAATTTGTGCCAGACATTAGTATTTTCTGAAGCATCCTATAGTACCATGAAATGGAGACAAGCATTAAGCAGACTTTATTATTCACCAGAAAAGAAGTAACAATGATGCAAAAAAAAGCAATAAAATTTTGAATATAAAACCCCAAAAAGGCTTCATTATGCAGTTCTCAGTCAACACCAGCTGAGCCAAAGCCTACTACAGTACTTCTCTGTGCTTGGCTAAAACTTCCCATGGCTCCAGTAGCTCCATTCGCAGAGGTGCCAGTCTTCCACAAACAGGCATTTGCAACTGGATTTAAGGGAAAATATACTCTGTAAAACCAGGCTCTCTGATCTGTAGTTTGGCATACAAATAGAGGTCTAATTTTCAATTCTCTTGGGAACCAGGTAGCTTCTCATGAAGTAAAATCCACAACTGGAAATTAATGTTTTAATGACATCTTTTCAATTCTTGCACTATGTTTGTTCAAAATCGTGTATTACAAGTTTTACCCAAAGACCAGCAACACGTGGCTATGCTTAGGCTTTCACATTCTGATGGTGTTAAGACCAAAAAGTGTTTCTCATGAAATTCAAGATCTAGAGAAAGACTGTACTTTCTCAATGTGAAACAAAAGTTTACGGTTTTTATCCAGTTTCAACAGGGGTCCTTGGTATTTGCATATCAATTGCAGAGACTTTAGAAGTCAGAACATAAAGCCTTTAACAGAGGAAAATTTTGATTAATCTGTTGTACATAGTACATTTACTAACACCTGATTTCCCAAATCTCCTTCTATCAAGTCAATTAAAAAAGTGTATTTGGAGAAACATTGAAGAATCTTATGATTCTTAGTGACCTCTTCTTTCTAAGTACTGGAAATACAGACATACAGAATAATTTCCATAAAACACAGACAAATGGGATTGAACTGTAAATGAGAAAAGATAAAATAAAAAGCTTGAGAGTATTATCCTCCTGTTGCTTTCTCCTCTGAGGTATCTCACGCCGATTTTTTTTTTTTTGTAGATGTATCAAGATTTATGTGTAATAATGACTTTAGCAACTTCTTTCTTTAGGGATTCATTTTAATTCACTAATGAAACATTCTCAGGAACCAAGAGATTCACTTTCACCCAATTTCATTTTAATTAAAAAGAGCTAAAAAAAAAAAAAAAAAAAAAAAAAAAAAAAAAAAAAAAAAAGACTAGGAGGATGAAACTACTTTGGTTTGACAAAATGCATGGCTTTTTGACCCACCTATAAGGGCTGCTTACGCCACTCCAGCAGCTGGCAAACCAAGATTCTCTGGAGGCAATTAATCACCTCACCCAGCCCCCTCAAGCCTTTCTCCCACAGCGCTGCACTACATCTACCATCCCTCCAAATAACCAGCAAGCCAGGATTAATTCAGACCATGAATTACAGAAAGGCTCAGGATCATCAGAAAGACTGCATAGATATCTGAGCAGAAACTCTATGGATCATAGCTGTGGTCACTTCCCTGAGCACATTCTGCAGCTATTCGAATCCTTTGCAGTCTGTGCACTCCAAACCCCATGAGAAAGATCCACCTTGAAAACCAACAGATGGACGTTACAATATTGAAAAGCATAGGTGTCAAGAGGTACCTCTTAGAGGGATAACATAATCTACCATCAAAGTCGGAGATGCCTGAATGACCACAAAACAGCCTCCTAGGTGGGGACAATTAGTACTGTTTAATCATCACACAAGGTTATCAAAAGACTTTTTGTAACAGCAGCTGAGAAGCAGCATCACTCAGACAACAGACATAAAGATAAGTAGTGGAAATCGGGCAATGAAGAGGCAGAAACCACTCTCCCTATAACTTCCTAATATAAGCTTTATCTCAGTCACACCTGAGCTGCCTACCACCAGTGTCACAGCCTTTCTCTGTTTAAGCAGGGATGAAAACTGAAACACAAACTTTTGTTACATGTCAAAACATTAAATGAAAGAGAATTAAAAGGTGAAGTGACAAAATTAAACTCAGTGCAAAGTTTGAAGACAAAAATAAAGTGTTTTTCTTCAACTGACTTACATGAAAATAGGTCTTGATACATAAAAAATGCAATGCAGTGGGCATTTAAAAGGTCCTGGTTATTCCCCAAACAACTCCGGTTCATGTAAAGCCCCTAAAACACACATGGTGTGTTTTGCTTTTACATTATCTTATGCAGATATTAATCACGTAATTCACATCCCTGAACTGGCAGTAATGCCATCCACCGATGCCAAACTAAAATTTTTGCTCCTCTGGCCAAAATTTCACCAGGACCTATTTTCGGTGCAACAGGAAATGGAGACAGTGGAACTGCTAAAAACTTGTTCTATATAATTGTAGATATGGAGGTTATTTATGCAAGTATAGATTCGGCATAGGCACTAGGCCTTTAACTTAGGAAACACACTTGGTCAGAAAACTTACCTGCTCATTAAAAACCCCACAGATCACCAACTCACTCAAGTGCTCCAGAGCTACGTGCAGTCAGCAGAGAATACTGAAGCTAGTACGAGAAACCAAGAGAGAGCAGCAGAAAATGAACCAGGCAAACACCACTGGAGCCAGGAAGTTTCTGATGGGTGGTTAAGGCTACAAAAGATGGGATCCATTATTTAGACAAGCATGTCCCACAGGAACAACTCAGGAGGTGATACAGAGCTCTCAAGCAACAGAGTTGCAATCTTGTCTCTTATGTGTCCCTTAAATGCCTGAGGTCTAAATGGAAAAACTTTCGAGTTAGCATATAAAAAATTGTCAATACGTAGCATTTGCAATGTGATATGCAGTCATCCACCTTTAATCTGCTTCTTCAAAGAAATTCCACTCAGTACGACTACCAAGGCTGCCTGGAGACCACTGAGTGAACTTTGAGAAATACGTTTTCCTTTTCTTTGTGAGTGGACAGGTGCCTCATTTCCAGATAAGAGTTCCAACAGCACAGTGACAGCAAAACCAGGCAATGCTGAAGGGTGCAGCATCTCCCTGGAGATCTGCCCTGGAGCAAGCACTGATTGCAGAGTGCCAGCGCTCCCCAGGACATTCTCTTCTGAAGGCAGACAGGTAATACCAATTTGCCAGTGTTCAACACAACATCTCTCTGAAGTCCTGACTTTGTGCAATCAATGGGAAAACAACAGTTTTTGAAATGTCTTTAACAGAAGTCTCAACTGGAATGAAGCATCTCTAGCATTAATCAATATCCTTGCATCAAAGTAAAATCTGGCAAGTATCGCTTCTTATTCTATTAAGCCACAAACCCTGTTTAATCTTGCTCTATTATTGTCTTATCTACAAGTAGCTAAATTTCTGCCAGGTTGGCTTAACTAACTGACTTATGTTGCTATGATTCTGAAATTAAAAAAAAAAAAAATCTGTTACACAACCAGAGCAGAAATAAAAACACTTGAGCAGCTGAAAGAGCAGAGCTGAATAAGTAGTGCTACAAAACAGGAACAGATTTAGGAATAATGAGGTCACCTCACACCTCAACACACATGAAGTTATTCTGTTCACTCAAATAACTTCACGTTCAGTAATAGTCACAGCACAAAATACCACACCATTTTAAAGAGACAGAAGCATTTTCAATACTTCGGCTAATTAGAAAAAAAATTAACAGAACAAAATACCATCATGTGTTCCCCTTCCAGCTGTCTCCTGGCTTTACAGATGGAGACAGAATTAAGCAGGGTGGAAAATGTTCCCTCCCTCCTCACATCCTGTAAGTGAGAGACCCTTAATCTGGGCATGTGGTTGCTGATGTGAAATTGTGGAATTCCTGGTGCTTTAGAAGCATCTTGTACGTGATCAAGCATTCAGATGCTGCTGTGGTGGCAGCATGAAAGATCTCCTTCTCACCAGGTATTTTGGCTTCTCAGCCTGTCATATTCAAGGTACCTGCAGTTTGTTCTTTACTTAGCAAGGGAAAGACATAGTATTATCTTCCCTCCAAACTGTCAAGTCAAACAAACCAAAATTCAGAGCCATGAGGTCTGGCAATGCCAGTGTTAGGGTTCCCCGGGAGTGGGGGGAAGGGAAGGGCCCATGGGAGGCAGAAAAGCAAGTAAATAGATGTTCAAGTGACCCAAGATGAATGAACAACTGACAAGCAGACAAGAAAGGAAAATGATTAAACCACTCTGACTCTTTATCAGATTGGTGATATCTGTGCAGGCAAGAGCTGGGGCTTTAATGTTGTTTTTTTGTTGTGTGGTTTGTTGGGTTTTTTTCAAAGCAAACTCAAAGAGCATGTTTTTTTTCAAATAGAGAGGAGCGCAGCAGTCAATATCTAATAAAAGAAAGTTCTAGATGTCAAAATTGTTCAAAAAGCATAACTGCCTGCTGAGCTAAAGCATGATATTGCTATCCCTAAAAGGGAATTGGTATCTAAGCAAATACAGATTGGAATCACTGACTCATCCACCCTGGGCCTTTAAGGCAAACTGATGGAAAATCAAGGGCTGACAGAAGGAAAAGAGGGGGGGAGGAAAATAAGGAGGCAGAGGAATTTAAACAAGATTAGCTACGTGTGAATCCTAAATAAAGATTAAAATCAATGCCTAGTGGGTTTGGGGATTTCTGAAGTCAAGGTGAAGAAATTAGGAGAAAACTGGCAGTTCATAAGCTTCTATGATGGCTTTTATTGGGATAACTTTCAGCAGTATTTTAACCTTTAAGAGATACCATTGCATACTTCCTCCACACTTCTTAAAATCATAAGGAGAATCTGGTATTTAGTGCAGGCATCTAAAAATCACAGTTTCCATTCCATAATTAGCTCAGCCATCTATTTTAATACAAACAGAAAGTCTTTCCCTAATTTCTACTGTCTATACATCCGGCTGCTGCCGACAGAGTCAAGGACCCATAAGAACAGTGAATAGCCTGGGTCTGTTCTGTTGCACTAATATGATAAACATCACTGATGAATGATCTTGAATGATCTTGTTCAGCTTTGAGTTAGCTGATATAGATTAAAAATCTTTAAAGACAGAGAAAAACACTATCAACTTCTGCTTCTGTAGCTAGTGCTCAACATCAGTCAGCTTTCTTTGCAGATTATGAGGCATTTCAGTCTTAGGAAATGTTTTATATTTTTGGAATTAAGATTTCTGTAAGAAAGTTCACTATGTCTTCATTCATACATATTCTTTCTCTCAATGGATTGAATTGTAGGCTTGTCCATTTACAACTTCATAAAGACGTCACAAAGGCTATATAAATTTCCTTTATGTATTTACTATGAATTACAAGTTATTAAGCTATAGGTTATGGGAAGTGCCTTTCCTTTTCATGTGACAATCTTTTAAAATTTATTTTCTGGTCTGTTAATTCTAAAATTGCTGAGCCAGTTCCCTTGGAAAGGTGCTAGTTTCTATGACGGTAGCCTTTTTAATCACTTGAGCAGAAGTAAAATATAGATATGGTATTGTTTACACTAATAATGTCTATAACTAAGACACCAAAACCCCAATCGAAGGATTCAGTTTAATTTATCCTCAAGCAGCTTCTGGAACTAGAATCTAAAAGAATTTTGTTCTTTGTGATCTTGTTTTCCATAATTCCTTCCTAATGTTTCTATCACTGGAGATTTTCTTATTACGGCTTTCTTTTTATACTTTAACAGAGGAAATCCTGTAAGTTTGGGAATAGAAAAGATTGTATTT